CATTCATGCACAGAATTCTTTGTCCTCGTGAGGAAGGACAGAGAGTTGCTCTGTGCTGCAAAGCTCAAAGCCAGAACTCCATTTTCAAAACCCCCAGCCCAAGATCACGCCAAGGCTAAGCGTGCCACCAACCTCTGAAAGTGTGCTTGTGAAATAAACTTCCCCAAACTTGGACTTTTTTCTTGAAAACTTGGGTTTCCTTGTTAATTCTAACGAGGAGGCATGGAAACGTCACTATGGAGAAACTTGGCAATCTCCTACTTAACCAAAGAATTGAAATTAACATACCCATCATGTGGCTCCTGACACGAGGCACCAAAAAGGACCCAGCATCACTTGTGTGGTATTCCTGCCCCAAAATTCACAACCTGAACCCAACTATGAGGAAACATCATCAGACAAACCCAGACTGAGGGACATTTCTAGAAAACTGGTCCCACACACTTCAAAAATATCAATGCCATGCATGACAACAAAAAGCTGAGAAACTATTCCAGATTAAAGAAATAAAAAGCCAGGCACGGTGGCCCACACCTGTAATTCTAGCACTTTGGGAGGCCAAGGCGGGTGGATCACTTGAGGTCAGGAGTTCGAGACCAGCCTGGCCAACATGATAGAACCCTGCCTCTACTGAAAATACAAAAAATTAGCTGGGCGTGGTGGCGGTCGCCTGTAATCCCAGCTACTCAGGAGGCTGAGGCAGGACAATCGCTTGAACCCGGGAGGAGGAGGTTGCAGTGAGCCGGGAACTCGCCATTGCACTCCAGCCTGGGTGACAAGAGTGAAACTCCATCTCGAAAAAAAAAAAAAAAAAAAAAAGAAAGAAAGAGACCAAGACAACTAAATCTCATGTGAGGTCATCAACAATTGCAGCCCAAAGAGGAAAAAAAGACATTGTGGCCGGGGGTGGTCGCAAATCCCAGCACTTTGGGAGACTGAGGCAGGCAAGTCCCTTGAGGCCAGGAGTTCAAGACTAGCCTGGCCAACATGCTACTAAAAAAAACACAAAAATTAGCCGGGTATGGTGGCACACACCTGTAATCCCAGCTACTCGAGAGGCTGAGGCACGAGAATCCCTTAAACCTGGGAGGTAGAGGTTGCAGTGAGCCGAGATCACACCACTGCACTCCAACCTGGGGAAAAGAGAGAGACTATCTCAAAAAAAAGAAAAAAAAAAGACGTTACTATAGAGACAATTACTGGGGCAATTGGTGAAATGTAAATATATACTACATATTAGGTAATATGTAAATGTTTTTTTTGTGAATTTAATTATTGTATCGGAGTTTTTTGGTTAGTTGGTTTGTTTGTTTGAGATGGAGTCTCACTCTGTTGCCCAGGCCGGAGTGCAATGGCGCAATCTCAGCTCACTGCAACCTCTGCCTCCCCCAGGTTAAAGTGATTCTCCTGCCTCAGCCTCCCGAGTAGCTGGGATTACAGGCACCCACCACACACGGCTAATTTTTTTGTATTTTTAGTAGAGACAGGGTTTCACTATGTTGGCCTGGCTGGTCTGGAACTTCCTGACCTCAAGAACTGCCCACCTTGACCTCCCAAAGTGCTGGAATTACAGGCGTGAGCCACTGCGCCTGCCCTGTATTGGAGTTATATAAAAGAATGTCCATACATGCTGAAGTATTTAGGGGTTCACACCATTCTCCCGCCTCAGCCTCCCCAGTAGCTGGGACTACAGACACCCACCACCATGCCCGGCTTTTTTTTTTTTTTTTTGTATTCTTAGTAGACATGGGGTTTGACCGTGTTAGCCAGGATGGTCTCAATCTCCTGACCTCGTGATCAGCCTCCCAAAGTGCTGGGATTACAGGCGTGAGCCACTGCGCCCGGCCAGGGCATCCAGTTTTTCTTTTTTTTTTCTGAGACGGAGTCTTGCTCTGTTGCCCAGGCTGGAGTGCAGTGGCGGGATCTCGGCTCACTGCAAGCTCCGCCTCCCGGGTTCACGCCATTCTCCTGTCTCAGCCTCCCGAGTAGCTGGGACTACAGGCGCCCGCTACCTCGCCCGGCTAGTTTTTTTGTATTTTTTTAATAGAGACGTGGTTTCACCGTGTTAGCCAGGATGGTCTCGATCTCCTGACCTCGTGATCCGCCCATCTCGGCCTCCCAAAGTGCTGGGATTACAGGCTTGAGCCACCGCGCCCGGCCTAGCATCCAGTTTTTCACACCCATCGCATCACTTGCTCTGTGGAAATCCTCAGAAGAGGAATCTGAGATCAGTGGGACTGGGCCACATCTAGCCACATGGGACTCAGAAAACATTTATTGAATGGACACTGGGGCCACCACTAGCCTGCATCACTTCTTCCTCAAGCTAAAAAAATTTTTTTTAATTGATATATTATTGGACAACCTGGGTAGTTCTCCCCAGAGGACTTTCCAGCATCCTAATGGGCATTCTTCCCTGGCTGTGTACACAAGTGCACCCCACCGTCACCCACTCACCCCACCGTCGCCCACCCACCCCGTCGCCCCTCACCCCACCCCGTCTCGCCCCACAAGTCACCCTCACCCCACCGTCGCCCACTCTCCGCCACCGTCGCCCACTCACCCCACCGTTTCACCCTCACCCCACACCGTCACCCCTCACCCCACACGTCGCCCACTCTGCCCCGTCGCCCACTCACCCCACACCGTTTCACCCCTCACCCCACCGTCGCCCACTCACCCCACCGTCTCGCCCCACCGTCACCCACTCACCCCGTCGCGCCCTCATCCCACCGCTTCGCCCTCACCCCGTCCTCGCCCCACCGTCACCCACTCACCCCACCGTCTCCACCTCCGTCACCCTCACCCCACCGTCACCCTCACCCCACCGTCACCCTCACCCCACTGTCTGCCATATCACCTCACCCCCACCCCGTCTCACCCACCGTCACCCACTCACCCCACTGTCGCCCTCACCCCGTCTCCCCGTCGCCCACTCACCCCGTCTCGCCCCACGTCACCCCACTCACCCCACCGTCGCCCACTCACCCCACCGTCGCCTACTCACCACACCATCTCCCACTCACCCCACCGTCGCCTCACCCCGTCTCGCCCCACCGTCACCCTCACCCCACCGTCACCCCACTCACCCCACCATCTCACCCACATCACCCTCCCACCCCACCGTCTCGCCCCACCATCACCCACTCACCCCACCGTCGCCCCTCACCCACCGTCACCCCTCACCCCACATCGCCCACTCACCCCATCACCCACTCACCCCACCGTCGCCCACTCACCCCACCGTCGCCCACTCACCCCACCGTCGCCCACTCACCCCACCGTCACCCACTCACCCCACCGTCGCCCACTCACCCCCCTCCGGACACCAGGGCTACTCATCTTGAGCAGCACACACTCCGACCTGCCCCACACTCTTGGCTTCAGAGTTGAGGAAGGAACAGATGGGTTTCCAGCTGTGGCTGGTTGAGTGAAAGCAGCATCCCGGGAACAACCCCAGGCCCTGTTAGGACAGACCGCGATGTGTGCAGTTGTGTGCGCCATTGAGCCTGAGCATGCTTATGACTGGAGTGTGTGTGTGTGACCCAGGGCAACCAGGGGGTTTCTGTAGAAGATGGGCTCATGCCTGTCTCTCTAGGAGTTCACGCCAGCTCTCGTACTTTCCATAAGTATGTATCTGACTGTCACATGAATGCTGCACACTTCAGCGTAACCCAAATACCTGGGCGAACTCCGGCACTATGAATGCTGCTATCCCAATTTTAAGGGTGATGAAACTGAGGCTCAAACAGGTTAAGCATCTTGTCCAATTCACAAAAGAAGCTGTAGGTCAGTTATCTAAAAAGCAGCAGGGTATCAAGGGCCTCCCTCCCAACCTATCTCTTTCCAAAACCAGGGGCCACCCTTGAGCTCTAAAACCCCCAGGGACACTGGCTCTGCTGGCCGAGGTGAGGATGGATGAAGCTGGGGAATGCATGTCTGAAATCCAAGCAAGGACAGGTGGAGCCCGCACTGCCAGGAGATCCCACTGACAAGTTGGTACTAGACAGGGAAGGATGGGGTGGGAGCTATTTTATCTCTGTTCTGGAGGGATCCAGAGAGGTGCAGAGCTGCCTCCACTAGCAGAAATGTGGCATCTCTCAGGAATGGCGAAGGAGACAAGCTTGGTCCAGGTACAAGAAGGCATCACCCTCTGACCAGCAATGACCAACATTAGGAGCCAGTGACTAGAACCACCCCTCCCCCACCCCCGCATATTGTCAACAGAGCTGGAAATCAAAAGGGGACTTTGGTCAGAAGAATTTTTCATAATATTTAGCCTTACAATGGACTAGAAAGAACCACAAAGATACCTTATACAAGACTGGCACCCTGGCCAGGCGCAGTGACTCACGCCTGTAATCCCAGCACTTTGGGAGGCCGAGGCGGGTGGATCACTGGAGGTCAGGAGTCTGAGACCAGCCTGGCCAACATGGTGAAACTCCGTAAATAGAAAAATTAGCCTGGCGTAGAGGCAGGTGCCTGTAATCCCAGCTACTCGGGAGGCTGAGACAGGAAAATCGCTTGAACCCAGGAGGAGGAGGTTGCAGTAAGCTGAGATTGTGCCACTGCACTCTAGCCCGAGCGACAGCAGTCACTCAGCAAACCTGTAGCCATGTCAGGGATAAATGGCAGACCAGTGATTCATAAGCAGAGCCCTTTCGGTAATTCCAGGAGGCCTTTTAACTGTTCACATCTGTAACCCATTTAGAACCAGTTCCAATTCAGACATGAATTGTATATTCACATCTGAGGATGCAAAGTAGGTGAGTGGGTCCTGAGGCCAAGTCTCCCCTTGATTTCTCAGCAATGGCACAACCAGCCTCACCATGAGAATCAAGAAGCAAAGATTTTCTCCCACTAGCTCCCGAAGATCACTGCCTTGTCATTGATGAAACTAGCAGTGCCACCAGATGGATCCGGTGTGAACAGTCACAGCTGGCTGTGCCACTTCCCCAGGTTTCACGCGCCCGCAACGCAGAATACAAAGGCACAAGACATCAAGGTTAATAAACAGTTTTATTTGCCTTGTACAGCATCAATTTTCTTACATTCTCAGTTAATTGGCCATTAAAGTGCTGGAAATTTTCTTAATCATGATAACGTTTGTTAAAAAGAAATCAGAACTAATATCAGGAACATGGCGGCCTGAAGGAAACATTTCCCTTACAAAACACAGAAAATGGAAGCCCCTCATGTTGAGGGGGTGGGTTGGACAATTTGCAAACAGGTTCTAATTTCCTCTCACCGTCAGCACCAAACTGGCTGGGACCACCACCCCTGGGTGAAAGAATGCAACGCTAAAGAACCCTAAAAACACCCACACACTCTGACTGCCGCCACCTCTGGGCCATCTGTGGGTGTTTGCTGTTTAAACAGATCCAGTCTCAGAAAAGAGGAAGACCTGATCTCCGTCTGCAACCCATCACCCCACCCACCCTTACTAACAAAAGCCCCCAGAGTCATTACAATGAAAAAGTGGGTTTCCATTACCCCAAAACTAACAACGTTCAGTAAAAATGAGGATAATAAACACAAAAGCTTGCGTAGTAAACAGGAGCTCTCAGCAGTCAATGCAAAAAATATATATATATATGAAATCTTAAGGCAAATACTGTTGACTTTGCACATGGGCTGGACGAACTTGGAACTCTTTACCTATGTGTATAGTTCCAGGAGCCTACAGGCGGTCGGTTTTTCAGCGCTTGCCACCGGGCCAGGCAAGATCTTTGCATGATTGCTGAGGCGGTCGGTGTGTTTCCCTTTGGAGTTTATGTAGGCACACACCCAAGGCTGATGTTTTGTTATATATATATATATGTACACACATACAAAGGCCTGCTACTCTTTCTTTGTGGAAACTGACAGCTCCACCTCAGGAAGCTGGATGCCAACCTTATTCCCACTGTCATTGCTAGAAGAGGAAGACAGTCGGGACTTCTTAGAGGCCAGGGACACCCCACTCCCCTGTAACTTGCCTGTCTCATCATCACTCCCAGTCACCTCATAATGACCTTTGCTCTTTGACCCCAATCCACCAAAGGTACCGAATTTCAGCTTCCCGTGTTTCCCTTTAACTTTCCCGCCTTCCAGCGACACCTCCCCACCTTCAAACTCCAGAGTCCCCGTCGGGGTGGAAGGTCCAGAGAACTCTCTTTCATCACTGAATGAATTTGAGCGGTGCCGTGGCTTCTTACTTTTAAATAAGGAGAATTTGCCTTTTGGTGAAGAGGCTTCGGCCTCTGCCTCTCCTTCCAAAGAGCCCAGGCTGGCCTTTGAACTTTTCAGGTCACCTTTGGACCCAGAAATGGATGCTTCTGGTGAGCCGGTGACACCACCTTTCCCTTTAGGTTTGGAAAAATTAAACTTGGGCATTTTGATTTTGGACTTTTTCAGTTTGACTTCAGACTCTTCCCACTCGCCGTCTCCAGCACCAGCTTGGACACTGGCCTCTGCTTTAGGGAAGTGAACATCCACTCCCACTTCTCTGCCAACCAGCTCACGGCCAGAGAAGGTAAATTTGGGGATCTTCATTTTAGGGAATGTTACTTTACCAGATCCACTTTCCAAGTGACCTTGAGGCCCAGACATACTCAGCCCAGGAGCCTGGAGTCCAATGTGACCTCCTTTCACACCTCCTTCCACCTTTGGTCCTGAGAAATGAAGGCCCCCAGCAAACTTAGAAGTGTCCAAGTTGAGAGCAGAGGAGACCTGGGGTCCCTTCCACTCACCCCCAGAACCTTTAACACTCACATGCCCTTCACCGAGGCTGATGTCTGGGGCACTGACACCCCCTGAAACATCCACCCCTCCTTTGATTTTTGGGCCCTTCAAGTTGATGGCAAAATCTGACTCAGGAGATGCCATATTAAAGGAAGGCCCCTTCACACTGATATCGGGAGCAGGCCCGTGGAAACCTACTTCTGAACCTTTCAGACCACCTTTGATTTCAGGACCAGAAATCTGCCCAGCTGGGAGTTTCACATTCACACCTGGCAGGTTCACGTCACATCCAGAGGACTTAATTCCAGGCATCTGGAGGTTTCCTTCTAGGCCTTGAACACTGATGCCTGGAACACCTCCTCCAACAGTGGGGCCTTTGATCTCGCCAGTGGCCCCAAGGCTCCCTTTCACTTTTGGTCCTTCCAAGTTAAAGTCCACATTCGGTGCTGAAATCTGAGGCCCTTTCAAGTTCACATCCACACCTGGCCCCTTCAGTTCTCCAGAAACCTGTGGCCCCTTGGCATTAACGTGCAAGTCAGACCCTGGAGCAGAGATGCCAAATTGGGGCAGCTTCATTTTGGGAAGTTTAATGCTGCCTTCGGATGCCTCCAAGCTTAGATCAGGAGCTCCTACGGATACTTTAGGGCATTTGATGTCACCAGAGACAGCCAGGTCTCCCTGCAGACTTGGTCCCCTCAGTGTCACATCTGGTGCCCCAACGTTAAGCTTTGTTGTGGCATCGATCCCTGGCACTTTCACACCGTCTCCTCCCACCTGCACTTTGCCACCGACCCCGCTGAGGTCGAGCCCTGGAGCATGCACCTTCATGCTGGAAACAGATGCATCCAGGTCTCCCTTCAAACTTGGTCCTTTCAAGTTCAGATCAAGGTCAGGCCCAGAGACTTTTGGCATAGAGAGGTTCACTGAAGGCAAGTCTACTCCCGGCCCCTTTAGAGAAACACTGGGCCCTTCGAGCTTAACATCTGGTCCTCTCAAGTCTCCTTCAAGAGAGGGTAGCTGAGCATGGACGTCGGCTCCCCCACCCTCCATTTTCACACCAGGGATGCCGATCTTGGGCATGGAAAACTTGGGGAACTTAATTTTTGCTTCTGGACCTTGCAGATCTACATCTGGTCCTTCCAGTCCCATGCTGGGGACATCACCCTTTATCTTTGGTCCTTTCAAGTTCACATTCACATCAGGGATGGAGACTTGAGGGGCAGAAACGCCGAAGGAAGGTGTTTTGACTTTAGCATCTGGGCCTTCGATGTTGACGTCAGGTGCATCCAAGTTTGCCTGCACTTTGAGGCCTTTCAGGTCACCCTCTATTTTTGGCACTGAGATGTCCACACCTGGCATCTTGACCTTGGGAGCCTTCGCCTTGATGTCAGGACCTTCGACGTGAATTCCTGGTGAAGAAAGTTCCAGATCAGGTGCCTGGAGTTCACCCTCCAATTTGGGGCTAGGGAGAGGAGCCTCAGCTTTAAATTTAGGTGATTTAATGTCAAACTCTACATCTGGGAAGTACATTTTTCCAAACATCGTTTTCTTGGTTTTCGGCGATTTCACATCGACTTTGAGTGAGGCATCCGGCCCTGCGATGTTGACATCTACATCGGGAGCCTTGAGACTGGCATCAATTTCAGCCCCAGGAACACTCAGGTCAAATCCCTGTTTTTTGGCCTTAATTTTAGGACCACTCATATGAATTTTAGGCATTTTAAACTTACTTTTCTTCCCCTTTCCACCAACACTAATTTCAGGAGTCTCAAGGTTCAGCTCTGCCTCAGGAACAGTGACATCTAGTGAAGGTGACTTGATGTCAGCTTTGGGACTTTTTGCCCCAAATCCAAACTTGGGTTTCTTAAATTTGGGGATTTTAACATCTGGCCCTTCAATGTTAATATCTGGGCTGTCCATGTGTACATCTAAGCTTGGAGCTTCAACTTTGGGTCCCTTGAGGTCCACTTCACCACCTTCTAACTTCGGACCTGAAAATCCAATTTTTGGTGCCTTGAGATGCAAATCAACATCAGGAGCAGTTACTTTAGGAGCAGATATCTCCAGTGATGGCATCTTCAAAGATGGGCCACTGAGTTTGGCATTGGGGCCTTCGAAATCCATGTTTGGACCTTTAAGGTCTACTTCTGGGCCTTTCAAAGTCCCTTCAACCTTAGGGACGGACACATCATACTCTCCTTTTACTTTGGGTCCTTTCAAATCTAGGTCAACATCAGGTATGGCGATCTTGGGAGCTTTGATGTTCATCTCTGGCATCTTGAACTTGGGGCCCTTCAGTTTTGCATCTGGACCTTCGATATTCACATCTGGAACATCAATGTCCACCTTATGTTCATCTCTGGCATCTGAACTTGGGGCCCTTCAGCTTTGCATCTGGACTCGACATTCACACATCTGAACATCATCGTCCACCTTGGGTCCCGAGACATCGATGCTCGGCCTTGGGCAGGTTCTGCCATCCACATCTGGGCCTTCTCCTTTGAAGCCGGGCATGCTGAATTTGGGCATTTTCACCTTGGGCATCTTCAGGTGCCAATCTGGGCCTTGCACATCCAATATCAGGGGCATTGATGTCCACTTTTGGGCCCTTGATGTCAACTTCTGGGCTCTTGAGGTCGCCTACTTTAGAAGTGGAAACATCCACATCGCCCTTCACTTTGGGCCTTTCAGGTTTAAGTCAAAGTCAGGCATGGAGAGATCTTGGGGCTTTGATGTTCATCTCAGGCATCTTGAACTTGGGGGCCCTTTAGTTTCACATCTGACCTTCGAGACTCACATCTGGAACATCAATGTCCACTTTGGGTCCCTAGACGCCATGTCAGCCTTGGGCAGGTTCACATCCACTCTCAAGTTCTCTTCCTTTTGAAGCCAGGCATGAACTTCTCGGCATTTTCTACTTTGGGTATTTTAGGTGCCAGTCTGGGCCTTGAACATCCACATCTGGGACATCAACGTCCACTTTGGGGCCCTTGATGTCAACCTCGCCCTTGAGGTCGCTTCCACTTTGGGCAGAGAAATGTCCACATCGCCCTTTCACCTTTGGACCTTCAGATTCAGGTCAACTTCAGGCATAGAGACCTCGTGCCTTGAGGTGCAGGTCAGGTATTTAAATTTCAGCCCTTCAGTTTCTCTTCTGACCATGAATGTCAATATCAGGAGTGTCAATGTCCACTTTAGGGCCTTTGACATCCACTTGGGGACCTTTCAGATCTCCCTTCCAGTTTAGAACGGAAATGTCCATATCTCTTTTTTATCTTAGGTCCTTTCAAATTCAAATCAATGTCACTCATGGAGATTTGTGGGTTTTGAAATGAACATCAGGCATCTTAAACTCTGGGACCTTTGAGTTTCTTCAGGACCTCTGCTCACCTCTGGCCCCTTTCAGATCACCTTCCAGCTTAGGTAGTGACACACATCCACATCGCCCTTGCTTTTGACCTTTCAGATGCAAGTCAAAGTCAGGCATGGAGATCTTGGGGCTTTGATGTTCATCTCAGGCATCTTTAAATTTGGGCCCTTCAAATTTTCCTTCCGACCTTCAATATTGACATCAGGGGTGTCCATGTCCAAACTGGGGCCTTTATGTCAATTTCAGGGCCCTTGAGATCACCTTCCACCTTTGGGCAGAGAGACACCCACATCACCCTTCACTTTGGGGGCTCCTTCAAGTTAAAGTCAAGGTCAGGCATGGAGAGCCTTCGCCTTTGATGTTCATCTCTGGCATCTTGAACTTTGGGCCCTTCAGTTTTTGCATCTGACCTTCAATACTGACATCAGGGGCATCAATGTCCACTTTGGGGGCGAGATGTCATTATCAGCCTTGGGGTGGTTCACATCCACATCTGCCTCCCCTTTGAATCCTGGCATGCTGAACTGGGTATTTTCACCTTGGGCATCTTCAGGTGCCAGTCTGGGCCTTGAACATCCACATCAGGGGCGTCGATGTCCACTTTGGGGCCCTTGATGTCAACTTCAGGGCTCCTTGAGGTCGCCACTTTTAGGAAGGGAAACATCCACACGCTCTTTTCACCTTTGGGGCCTTTCAGATGCAAATCAAAGTCAGGCATGAGATCTGGGGGCTTTGATGTTCATCTCAGGCATCTTGAACTTAGGGGGCCCTTCAGTTTCGCATCTGGACCTTCGCTATTCACATCTGGAACATCAATGTCCACCTTGGGTCCTTTTGTGATGTCAAGGCCGCCTTTGGGCAGGTTCACATCCACTCTGGGCTCCTCTCCTTAAAAACCAGGCATGCTGAACTTGGGCATTTTCACTTTGGGCATTTTTAGGTGCCAGTCTGGGCCTGAACATTCACATCTGGGACATCAACGCCCACTTTGGGGCTCCTTGATGTCAACTTCGGGGCCCTTGAGGTCGCCCACCTTTGGGCAGAGAAACGCTCCACATCGCCTCTTCACTCTTTGGACCTTTCAGATTCAGTCAACTTCAGGCATAGAGATTCCTTGTGCCTTGAGTGTGCAGGTCAGGCATTTTAAATTTCCAGCCCTTCAGTTTCCCTTCTGGACCATGAATGTCAATATCAGGAGTGTCAATGTCCACTTTGGGTCCTGAGACATCAATGTCAGCTTTGGGCAAATTAACATCCACTTCTGGGCCCTCTCCTTTAAATCCTGGCATGCTGAATTTGGGCATTTTCACCTTCTTGGGCATCTTCAGGTGCCAGTCTGGACCATGAACATTCACATCTGGGGCATCATCCACTTTTGGGGTCCCTTGATGTCAACTTCAGGGCCTTGTGTCACCTTCCATCTTAGGCAGAGAAACATCCATATCTCCTTTCACCTTTGTGGGCCTTTCAGATGCAAATCAAAATCAGGCATGGAGATCTTGGGAGCTTTGATGTTCATCTCTGGCATCTTGGAATTTAGGGCTCCTTCAGTTTCGTATCTGGACCTTCGATATTCACATCTGGAACATCAATGTCCACCTTGGGTCCTGAGACATCAATGTCAGCCTTGGGCAGGTTCACATCCACTTCTGGACCTTTCTCCTTGAAGCCAGGCATGCTGATCTTCGGCATTTTTATCTTAGGCATCTTCAGGTGCCAGTCTGGGCCTTGAACGTCCACATCTGGGGCATTAATATCCACTTTGGGGCCTTTAATATCCCAGACTGTGAACTTTTCACATCACCTTCCACTTTGGGCAGACACATTCACGCCACTCTTCACCTTGGGGCCTTTCAGGTGAAGATCAAATGTGTCAGGCATGGAGATCTTGGGGGCTGGATGTTCATTTCAGGCATCTTGAACTAGTCTTCAACTTTCCCCTCTGGCCTCTTCGAGCATTCACATCTGGAACATCAATGTCCACCTTTGGGGCCTGAGACATCAATGTCAGCCTGGGCAGGTCTACATCCACTTCGGGGCCTCTCCTTGGAAGCCAGGCATGCTGAACTTGGGCATTTCTACCTTGGGCATCTTCAGGTGCCAGTCTGGGCCTTGAATATCCACATCCGGAGCATTAATGTCCACTTAGCCTTTTGATGTCAACTTCAGGGCCTCTTAAGGTCGCCTACTTTGGCAGAGAAACGCCCACACGCTCTCTTCACCTTGGGGCCCTTCAGGCTTAAATCAATGCTGGGGCATCGATATTTTGGGGAGACTTCAGATGCATCTCTGGTACCTAAATTTGGGTCCCTTCAATTTACCCTCCGGCCTCTTCAATGTTAATGTCAGAGTGTCAATGTCCACTTTGGGGCCCTTGGATGTCAACTTCTGCCTCTTGAGGTCACTTCCACTTTAGAAGGGAACATCCACATCGCCTTCATTTTCGGTCCCTTTGCTCAGGTCAAAGTCAGGCATGAGATCTTGGGGGCTGATGTTCATCTCTGTATCTTTGAACTTGGGGGCCCTTTCAGCTTTGCATCCGACCTTCAATATCTACATCTGGGACATCAATGTCCTTTGGGTCCTGAGACGCTTGTCAGCTCTGGGCAGGTTCACATCCACTCTGGGCCTCCTTGAAAACCAGGCATGCTGAACTTGGGCATTTCACTTGGCATCTTCAGATGCCAGTTCGACCATGAACATCCACATCTGGGGCACTGATAACCACTTTAGGCCTTTGATATCAACCTCTGGGCTCTTTTCAGATCCCCTTCAAGTTTGGGAAGAGAAACATCCACATCACCTTTCACCTTGGGGCCCTTCTGCTGGAAGTTGGACGTCAGGCATGGAGATCTTGGAGCTTTGACATTCATGTCAGGCATCTGAATTTGGGGCCTTTCAAGCCTCCTCTGACTTCCACATGAGTTCTGGGCCTCAATGTTCATACTTGGGCCCTCTATGTTGATGTCTCCTTTTGGCAGATCCAAAGCTACATCTGGCCCTTCTGCTTTTAAGCCAGGCACACCGAATTTGGGCATTTTCATCTTGGCATTTTCAGATTCCAGTCTGACTATGAACATCCACCTCAGGTGTGCATTTAGATTGACTTCCGTGCCTTAATATCCACTTTGGGGCCTTTCTGGGTCACTCCTCTAAATTGGGACCTGCAACATCTAAGTCTCCTTTGACTTTAGGACCTTTCAAATTTAGCTCCACATCAGGCACAGAAACTTTGGGAGATGAAATATTCAGGAAAAGGCATTTCTAACTTGGATCCTTTCTCACTTTTCCTTGACCTCGACATCAGGAGCATTAATATCAACTTTTGGACCTGTTATGTCAATATTCAAGGCTTTACCTTTGATATCCACCTCAGGTGTCTGAATCCCTTTGGAGCCTTTAAAATAAATTTTGGGAAGCTTAAACGAGATTTCTTTGGATTTGCCTTCAATATTAAGCTAGACCGAGAACGCCCACTTCTGGGCCCTTTATATCCAAACGGGAAAGCTTTAATGTCACCTTCCAACTTGGGGCCTCCAGAGACATCACATCTCTTTAAGCTTTGAGCCTTTCACCAAGTCAATTTCTGGCATGGAGATCTTAGGCATGTTTACATGCATGTGCTACAGGCACTTCAGTTTTGGACCTTTTAATTTGGCAGCATCTGGCCATGAATGTCAATATCTGGAGCATCTACATCTATCTTTTGGGCTTTTATGTCAAGAGCAGGTCCTTCAAATCACCTTTCTATGATTTGGAAGTGAAATGAGTCCACCTCTCCTTTTCATCTTAGGGGCCTTTTAAGATTGAGAGGTCTAATCAGGCATTGATATTTTAGGAGCTTTGATGTTCATCTCTGCATCTTGAATTTAGGGCCCTTCAGTTTTGCATCTGACCTTCAATATTCACATCTGGAACATCAATGTCCACCTTGGGGTCCTGAGATGTCATGTCAGCTCAGCAGGTTCACATCCACTTCTGACCTTCTCCTTTGAAGCCAGGCATGCTGATCTTCGCATTTTTATCTTAGTAATCTTCAGGTGCCAGTCTGCCTTGAACGCCCATATCTGGGGCATCAATGTCCACTTTGGGGCCTTTAATATCCCATCAGGAACTTCACGTCACCTTCCACTTTGGGCAGAGACACATCCACATCACCCTTCACCTTGGGGCCTTTCAGGTGAAGATCAATGTCAGGCATGGAGATCTTGGGGGCTTTGATGTTCATCTCAGGCATCTTGAACTTGGGACCTTTTAACTTTCCCTCTGGACCTTCGATATTCACATCTGGAACATCAATGTCCACTTTGGGTCCTGAGACATCAATGTCAGCCTTGGGCAGCTTCACATCCACATCTGGGCTCCTCTCTTTAGAAACCAGGCATGCTGAACTTTGGCATTTTCACCTTGGGCATCTTCAGGTGCCAGTCTGGGCCTTGAACATCCACATCTGGGACATCAATGTCCACTTTGGGGCCCTTGATGTCAAATCTCAGGGCTCCTTGAGGTCGCCTACTTTGGGCAGAAACATCCACATCGCCCTTCACCTTGGGACCTTTCAGATGCAATCAAAAGCTTGTGCATGGGAGATCTTGGGGCTGTGATGTTCATCTCTGGCATCTTGAACTTAGGCCCTTTCAACTTTCCCTCTGGTCCTTCAATGTTAACATCAGGGCCTTCAATGTCCACTTCCTTGGGTCCTGAGATCAATGCCGGCCTTGGGGTAGGTCTACATCCACATCTGGGCCTCTGCTTTGAAGCACAGGCATGCTGAATCCTGGGCATTTTCATCTTGGGCATCTTCAGGTGCCAGTCTGGACCCTGAACATTAACATCTGGGACATCAATGTCCACTTTGGGGCCTTTGAGGTCAACTTCAGGACCTTTCAGATCTCCTCTACCTTAGGCTAGGAACGTCCACATCTCCTTTTATTTTTGGACCTGTGAGATTCAGGTCAATATCTGGTGAAGGATATCTTTGGAGTCTTAAAATGCATCTCAGGCATCTTTTAAACTTTGACTTTTCCACTTCCTTCAGGTCCTTCAATATTCACATTCGGACATTCAACATCCACTTTCGGTCCTGAGACATCAAGGTCAGCCTTGGGTGGTGGTTCACATCCACATCTGACCCTCTCTTTGAAGCCAGGCATGCTGATCTTGGGCATTTTTATCTTGGGCATCTTTAGTGCTGCCGCCATGAACATCAACATCAGGTGCATCATCGTCCACTTTTGGGCCCTTGATATCAACTTCTGGGCCCTTGAGGTCACCTTCCACTTTAGGAAGGGAAACATCCACATCACCCTTTACTTTGGGGCCTTTCAGGTTTAAGTCAAAGTCAGGCATGGAGATCTTGGGGGCTTTGATGTTCATCTCTGGTGTATCTTGGAACTTAGGCCCTTTCAATTTCCTCCGGCCTCAATAACATCAGGGCCTTCAATGTCTCACTTGGGTCCTGAGACATCAATGTCAGGGCCTTGGGCAGTTTCTACATCCACATCTGCCCTCTCCCTTTGAAGCCAGGCATGCTGAACTTGGGCATTTTCACCTTGGGCATCTTCAGGTGCCAGTCTGGGCCTTGAACACCCACACATCTGGGGCATCGACATCCACTTTGGGCTCCCTTGATGTCAATCTCTGGGCTCCTAAGGTCACCTTCCCACTTTGGGCAGAGAAACATCCACATCGCCCTTCACCTTGGGACCTTTCAGATGCAAATCAAAGTCAGGCATGGAGATCTTGGGGCTTGATGTTCATCTCTGGCATCTTGAACTTAGGCCCTTTAAATTTCTCTTGCCTGGCTCCTTCAATGCTAACATCAGGGCCTTCAATGTCCACTCTCCTTTGGGTCCTGAGACATCACTGAAATGTCGGGCCTTGGGCAGGTTTACACCCACTTCAGGCCTCCTCTGCTTTGAAGCCAGGCATGCTGAACTTGGGCAGCCATCTTGGGCATCTTTAGGTGCCAGTCTGGGACCTTGGACACTGGGGCATTTACATCAACTTGGGGCCCTTGATGTTCACATCTGGTACTTCAAATTTTACCTTCTACCTCAGGCACAGACACAATTTTACATCCCCCTTGATTTAAAATGTCCACTTTGGGTCCTGAGACATCAATGTCGGCCTTGGGCAGGTTTACACCCACTTCAGGGCCCTCTGCTTTGAAGCCAGGCATGCTGAACTTGGGCATTTTCATCTTGGGCATCTTTAGGTGCCAGTCTGGACCTTGGACATCGGGGGCATTTACATCAACTTTGGGGCCCTTGATGTTCACATCTGGTACTTCAATTTTACCTTCTACCTCAGGCACAGACACATCTACATCCCCCTTGATTTGGGGTCCTTTGAGATTTAGGTCAACATCCGGCATAGAAATACTGGGGGCTTTGAAATGCATATCAGGCATCTTGAACTTAGGGCCTTTCAATTTGCCCTCTGGTCCCTCAATGTCAATGTCTGGCCCACTGACATCCACATGTGGCCCTTTAAGTTCCCCTTCCAATTTGGGAACATCTACATCCACCTCTCCTTTTGCCTTGGGGCCCTTCAAGTGTAGATCGAGGTCTGGCATAGAGATTTTGGGAGCTTTAAAGTGCATATCTGGCATCTTGAACTTAGGAGTTTTCCACTTGCCATTTGGGCCTTCCACAGCTACTTCTGGCATGTCAGCATCTAATTTGGGACCTTTGACATCCAATTCTGGACCTTTTAACTCTCCTTCCAGCTTTGGGGCAGAAACGTCAACATCTCCTTTGATTTTGGGTCCCTTTAAATTGAAATCGACATCAGGCATGGAGATCTTGGGGGACTTGAAGTGCATCTCAGGCATTTTGGGGTCCTTTGAGATTTAGGTCAACATCCGGCATAGAAATACTGGGGGCTTTGAAATGCATATCATCAGGCATCTTGAACTTAGGCCTTTCACTTGCCTCTGTCCTCAAATGTCAATGTCTGGCCCACTGACATCCACATGTGGCCCTTTGCCCTTCCAATTTGGGAACATCTACATCCACCTCTTGCCTTGGGGCCTCTCAAGTGTAGATCGAGGTCTGGCATAGAGATTTTGGAGCTTTAAAGTGCATATCTGCATCTTGAACTTAGGAGTTTTCCACTTTGCCATTTGGGCCTTCCACAGCTACTTCTGCATGTCAGCATCTAATTTGGGACCTTGACATCCAATTCCTGGACCTTTTTAACTCTCCTTCCAGCTTTGGGGCAGAACGCCAACATCTCCTTTGATTTTGGGTCCCTTAAATTGAAATCGACATCAGGCATGGAGATCTTGAAGGACTTGAAGTGCATCTCAGGCATCTTAAACTTGGGGCTCCTTCAGCCTCCCTTCTGGACCTTCAAGGCTCACATCTGGGACTTCAACATCCACCTTGGGTCCTGAGACATCAATGTCAGCCTTGGGTAAGTTCACATCCACTTCAGGGCCCTCTGCTTTGAAGCCAGGCATGCTGAACTTGGGCATTTTCATCTGGGCATCTTTCAGGTGCCAGTCTGGGCCATGAACATCCACATCTGGGGCATCAATGTCCACTTTGGGCCCTTTGATGTCAACATCTGGCACTTTCATTTCACCTTCTACCTTGGGCACAGACACATCCACATCCCCTTTGACTTTGGGGCCTTTCAAGTTTAAGTTCACATCCGGCATGGAGATTCTGGGTCTTTAAGTGCATCTCAGGTATCTTAAACTTGGGCCCTTTCAACTTGCATCAGGACACCTGTGCCCAACATCAGGCACTCCACATCTACACTGGGGCCTGCTAAATCTCCTCCACTTGGTACAGACACATCCACATCCCTTTGACTTTAGGTTCTTCAAGTGTAAGTCCACATCCGCATGAGACTGGGGTCTTGAAGTGCATCTCAGGTATCTTAAATCCTGGGCCCTTTCAACTTTGCATCAGGACACTCCAGCTCAACATCAGGCACCTCCACATCTTCCACACTGGGGCCTACAATCTCCTCCAATTTTTGGTACAGACACATCCACATCCCCTTTGACTTTAGGGCCTTTCAAGTGTAAGTCCACATCCGGCATGGAGATCTTGGGGGTCTTGAAGTGCATCTCAGGCATCTTAAACTTGGGCCCTTTCAACTTTGCATCAGGACACTCCAGCTCAACATCAGGCACCTACATCCACACTGGGCCTGTTAAATTCCTTCCAATTTTGGTGTACAGACACATCCACATCCCCTTTGATTTTTGGGGCCTTTCAAGTGTAAGTCCACATCTGCATGGAGATTCTGGGGACTTGAAGTGCATCTCAGTATTCCTAAACTTGGGGTTCTTCTAGCTTCTTCTGGACCTTCAAGGCTCACATCTGGAACTTCAACGTCCACCTTGGGTCCTGAGAGACATCAATGTCAGCCTGGGGCAGGTTCACATCCACTTCAGGGCCCTGCTTCTAGCTGCAGGCATGCTGAACTTGGGCATTTTCATCTTGGGCATCTTCAGGTGCTGTCTGGGCCATGAACATCCACATCTGGGGCATCAATGTCCACTTTGGGTCCTTTGATGTCAACATCTGGCACTTTCATTTCACCTTCTACCTTGGGCACAGACACATCCACATCCCCTTTGACTTTGCGGCCTTTCAAGTGTGTAAGTCCACATCAGGCATGGAGATCTTGGGGCCTTGGAAGTGCATCTCAGTGGCATCTTAAACTTGGGCTCCTTCAACTTTGCATCAGGACACTCCAGATCAACATCAGGCACCTCCACTCCCACAGAAGGACCTTTGATATCAACTATGCCTCTGAGATCACCTTCCAGTTCTGGCACAGAAGCATCTATCTCTCCCTTCAGTTTGGGTCCTCTCAAATTCAAGTCCACATCTGGCATGGAGATCTTGGGAGCTTTTATATTCAACTTGGGCATCTTAAATTTGGAGCCTTCAACTTTCCTTCTGGTCCTCAATATCCAAATCAGAGCATCAATGTCTGCTACTGGGTCCAGACATCAGCGCCTTTTGGCAGATTCACATCCACTTCGCCCTGCTTTGAAGCCGGGTATACTGAATCCTGGGCATTTTCATCTTGGGCATCTTCAGATGCCAATCTGGGCCTTGAACCTCCACATCTGGGGCATCAATAACCACTTTGGGTCCTTTGATGTCAACATCCGGCACTTTCATTTCACCTTCTACCTTGGGCACAGACACATCCACATCCCCTTTGACTTTGGGGCCTTTCAAGTGTAAGTCCACATCCGGCATGGAGATCTTGGGGGTCTTGAAATGCATCTCAGGCATCTTAAACTTGGGGCCCTTCAATTTCTTCTGGACCTTCAATATCAATATCACCAACATTCACATCCACCTTAGGGCTTACATCAATTTCAGGACTTCTTCAAATTTCTTCCACTTTGGGAAGGGAAACATCTACATCAGTTTTCAGTTTAGAGCTTTCAAAATTAAGCCCAACATCAGGCATAGAGATTTTGTGTGTCTGTATATTCATGCTTGGCATCTTGAACTAGGCCTTTTAGTTTTCCCTCTGGGGCTTGGCAAGATTCACATCTGGAACATCAATGTTCAATTTTGGGTCCCGCTAAACACCAATGTCAGCCTTGGGCAGGTTCACATCCACTTCAGGGCCCTCTCCTTTGAAGCCAGGCATGCTGAACTTGGGCATTTTCACCTTGGGTATCTTCAGGTGCTGTCTGGGCCATGAACGTCCACATCTGGTGCATTAATGTCAACTTTTGGGCCTTTGATGTCAACACTGAGCTTTTATCTCTCCCTTCTACTTTTTGGAACTGTAACATCATAATCTTTCATTTTAGGATCTTTCAAATGCAAACCCACATCTGGTATGGATATCTTCTGAGGCTTTATATTCATTTCCTCGCATCTTGAATTTAGGACCTTTAGTTTCATGCCTGACCTTCGATTTCACATCTGGAACTTCAACATCCACCTTGGGTCCTGAGACATCAAGTGTCAGCCTTGGCAGCTTCACATCCAATTTGTGGCCCTCTCCTTTAGCCAGGCATGCTGAACTTGGGCATTTTCACCTTGGGGTACCTTGTGTGCCAGTCTGGGCCGCAACATCCAAGCATCTGAGCACCAATGTCAACTTTGGGCCCTTTGATATCAACATCTAGCACTTTCATGTCACCTTCTACCTCAGGCAAGGACACATCCACATCTCCCTTCAGTTTTGGCCCCTTTAAGATTCAGGTCCACATCAGGTGATGGAGATCTTGGGGGACTTGAAGTATCTCAGGCATCTTAAAACTTGGGGCCCTTCAGCTTCTTCCGGCCCTCAAGGCTCAGCATCTGGGACTTCAACATCCACCTTGGGTCCTGAGACTATCAATGTTTCAGCCTTGGGCAGGTTCACATCCACTCTGTGGGCCCCTGCTTTGAAGCCAGGCATGCTGAACTTGGGCATTTTCACCTGCATCTTCTTGTGTGCCAGTCTGGGCCATGAACATCCACATCTGGGGCATCAATGTCCACTTTGGGTCCTTTGATGTCAACATCTGGCACTTTCATTTCACCTTCTACCTTGGGCACAGACAAATCCACATCCCCTTTGACTTTGGGGCCTTTTAAGTGTAAGTCCACATCAGGCATGGAGATCTTGGGGGTCTTGAAGTGCATCTCAGGCATCTTAAACTTGGGACCCTTCAGTTTCCCTTCTGGACCTTCGAGGCTCACATCTGGGGCTTCAATGTCTACCTTGGGTCCTGAGACAGCAATGTCAGCCTTAGGCAAGTTCACATCCACTTCTGGGCCCTCACCTTTGAGACTGGGCATGCTGAACTTGGGCATTTTCATCTTGGGTATTTTCAGGCTCCAGTCTGGGCCTTGGCCTTCCACATCTGGTGCTTTAATGTCTATCTTGGGACCTCTGATGTCCACATCTGGAACCTGCATCTCACCCTCTATCTTTGGTGCAGAAATATCTACATTTCCTTTCATTTTGGGTCCTTTAAGATCCAGGTCAACATCTGGCAGAGACATCTTAGGAGCTTTGAAGTGCATCTCAGGCATCTTAAACTTGGGGCCTTTCAACTTCCCTTCAGGTCCTTCAAGGCTCAGATCTGGAGCACTAAGATCTACTTTTGGTGCAGAAATGTCCACATTCGCTTTGGACAGGTTCACATCCAATTCTGGCCCCTCTCCTTTGAGGCTGGGCATGCTAAATTTGGGCATTTTAATCTTTGGCATCTTCAAGTTCCAGTCAGGACCCTGCATTTCAACATCTGGGGCACTGACATCTACTTTTGGGCCTTTCAGGTCCCCTTCCAGCTTTGGCACTGTCACATCATATTCTCCCTTTACTTTAGGACCTTTCATATGCAAGTCCACATCAGGCATGGAGATCTTGGGGGCCTTGATATTCATCTCTGGCATCTTGAACTTGGGGCCCTTCAGCTTTCCTTCAGGTCCTTCAATATTCACATCTGGAACTTCAACATCCACCTTGGGTCCTGAGATGTCAACTTCAGCCTTGGGCAGGTTCACATCCACTTCTGGGCCCTCTGCTTTGAAGCCAGGCATGCTGAACTTGGGCATTTTCATCTTGGGCATCTTCAGGTGCCAGTCTGGACCTTGAACCTCCACATCTGGGGCATTGATGTCCACTTTGGCACTTTTAAGTTCAACATCAGGAACTTTAATCTCACTTTCAACCTTTGGCATTGTGACATCATATTCTCCCTTTACGTTAGGGCCTTTCAAATGTAAGTCCACATCAGGCATGGAGATCTTGGGGACTTTGATGTTCATCTCAGGCATCTTAAACTTGGGCCCTTTCAATTTCCCTTCTGGTCCGTCAATGCTCACATCAGGAACACTAACATCTACCTTGGGCCCGGAAATGTCCACATCAGCCTTGGGCAGGTTCACATCCACTTCTGGGCCCTCTGCTTTGAACCCTGGCACACTGAATTTGGGTATTTTCATCTTGGGCATCTTCAAGTGCCAGTCTGGGCCATGAACATCCACATCTGGGGCATCAATGTTCACTTTCGGGCCTTTGAGTTCTCCTTCAAGCTTTGGTACAGTTACATCATACTCTCCCTTCACCTTTGTACCTTTCACGTGCAAATCTACATCAGGCATGGAGATCTTTGGTGTCTTGACACTCATATCAGGCAGCTTAACATCAGGGCGGCCTTTAAGCTTCCCTCCCAGACCCTCTATGTTGACATCTGGGGCTTCCACACTGACCTTGGGCCCTGAAATACTGACATCTCCTTTGGGTAGAGTCATATGCACATCTGGACCTTCCCCTTTGGCTCCTGGAGTGCTGAACGTGGGCATTTTCATCTTGGGCATTTTCAGGTTCCATTCTGGGCCATGTGCTTCGACATCTGGGGCACTGATGTCCACTTTGGGGCCTTTGACATCAACTTCAGGGACTTTGACTTTCCCTTCTACTTTGGGGAGTGTAACATCTACACCCCCTTTCACTTTAGGTGTGGCCACATTTAAGTCTACTTCTGCCATAGAGATCCTACAGGTTCCGGTTTTCCCAGAAGGACTGCCAAGCCTGGGGCCTGTCAAGGTTCCCTCTAGGTTTGGGGTCTCTATGTCCACTCTGGGGCCTTTAACTGCCACTTGAGGGCCTTTAACATCACCTTGCACCCCAGGAGCAGAAACCTTAATATCTCCTTTCAGTTTAGGAGACCCAAGGCTCAGATCCACATCCTGCATGGAGATTTTAGGTTTCTGAATAATCATTTCAGGAGTCTTGACTTTAGTACCTTTCATCTTTCCTTCCAGCCCACCAGTAGCAATCTCAGGCAGGCTGACATCCCCAGAGACCCCAGGAACGGTCACTTCACCTGTAGGCAGTGTCACATCAATCCCAGTTTCCTCTCCCTTTGCACCTGATACAGAGAACTTGGGGACTTTCATCTTGGGCACGTTCAGTTTGCTCCCAGGCCCCTGAACATCAATGTCAGGGGCCTGAATTTCCACACTGGGGCCAGTGATGCTACCCCCAATTTGGGGAGCAGAGGCGTCGACCCCAATGCGCCCCTGTGGCTTGGCACCTTTCAGGCCTAGGTCACCCTCAAGTGATGGCCCAGTGATTTGGGGCCCCTTCAGCTTCCCCTCAAGGCCCTCAATATTGGCAGAGGGCACACTGACTTCCAGCTGAGGGGCTTGGATAGTCAAGCCTGGCTTGCCGCCCTTGTGTCCCACAGAGACTTCAGGTGCAGAAACCCTCAGCCCTGCCTCTGGCGTCTGGCCCTCAGGCCCTGTCAAGACACCAAATTTCGGCACCTTCATAGTGGGAATTTTAATTTTGCCATGATCACCACTCTCCAGAGATGGGCCCTGCACCTCTACTGCCCCACCCCCAAAAGAAGATGAAATGTCCACTGCTGGAACTTGGACCCCTCCTCTGCCACCCAAGTCCAAGCCCTTTGCACTGACATTGACACCTGAGCCTCCCACCTTTATCCCAGGCATGGTGACCTGGAGCTTTGAGTGGCCAGCACCTTGGAGCTCTGGTCCTGAAGCAGAAATGGCCCCTGCTCGGATATCCACAGCAGAGCCTGGCGTTGGAGAGGCTGCCCCCGAGCCCGAGGGCAGTCTGATCACAGTCTTTCCAGACTGGGTCTCCACATCCACGTTGGAGATTTCAGTCCGTTCATGTCTTGGAATCTTGATCTTGAATTCAGGGCTACTGATGTCTATGTCCTTGGCTCCTTCCCGGCCGGTCACATCCACAGTGTAGGCTGTGACCCTTCTGGTCACCGTGATGGTGCGGCTCTGGGTCTCCCCAAGGTCTCCTTCCACTCCGTCTTCCGACTTCAGCCGTGGCTTGATCTTCGTGGTGTAGATGCGCTGGTACTCCTCATCATCCCCGCTCTGCAGAAAGACACGCCGGGCAGAGGTTGCAGCAGAGTCTGCCTGAGTTAGCAAATGCCCGGCCACAGCCCAGCCGACAACACGTTGCCTGTTTCCCAGAGAAGCTGGGACCAAAACAGAGGTCCATGGAGCCTCCTGGGCCACAGCACAAGGGAGTAAAGAAAGGGGTTGACAGTCACATCACAGGAGGAAATCAGAAATTCTCTGGAGGTCATACTGGGAAGCAAAAACCATGGGGAGGGAGTGGGAGGTATACTCTTGGACTGGAAGGATTTCCATTCAGTTAGAGATTCAAATCGGCCTGTGCCAGGGAGACCTCCCAAGAGACCGGGCCCTTCAGCTCCCAACTCTCAACCCACTGGCTCGTTTGTTTAACCAGGAGGGGAATTTTCTCAGAGGCCCTTGTTCCCTGGAAAGCACTTGTTGAGCCTAAGACTGATTGTGCCTGGGTTAACAGTCTCACTTTGAGGACCCGTTATTTGTTAAATAAACAAGCCACGAAGGAACAATGTCCCCACAGGCACTTTGCTGTCCAGTGTCTGACCCACAGAATGTATCAGGCCTCTGCAGAGAGAAAAATGGTGCCTGTGAGGTGGAGCTGGGCACCTGTGAAGTCATTTGAAAGGCTCTTGCAAAACAGCCGACCTTCCTCCTAGCGTCCAGGGCCGGGCTGCACAAGTCAGTTCCCACACTGTGGCCGCTCTGAAGAGACTCATTGAAGACATTTAGGGGCAGCACAGCCACATGTCACATGAAAGCAGAAAGAAACAGGGTGGCCAAGAGATCAAGCGAGTGAAGACAGGTGAGAGGAGGAGAAGGAGTAAAAAGAGAGGCTCCGGAGGCAGATGGGAGGCTCAGGAGTAGGGTCAGCAGGCTGGCGTGGCCGGGGGAGCTCAGGGCACAGATGGCCGGCGAGGTACTCACCAGAACCACTTCAGAGCTACGGGAGCTGAAGACTTCACGGGTCCAGGTCTGGCCAGGCTCGGGGGAGCGGTCCCCCTTGCGGTGCAGCTTCAGGCCCACCGTGTGGTGCCCCATGGTGTTCAGCAGCTGGGTCACCTCGTCCGACTGCAGGTTGTCAAAGTAGATGGTGGCACCCACAATCTGGTCCCCTGAGCAGGGAAGAGCAGGAAGCAAGTAAGGCCCAAAGAGCCTCAGGGAAATCACACATAGCCACCACACACTGGGCACTGAACTAACTTGATCTCACGACCACCCTCAAGGTGGGCGTGGTAATATCCATTGTACAGACATGGAAACTGAGGCTTAAAAAGGCCAATTTGTGGGGGCCAGGCACGGTGGCTCACACCTATAATCCCAGCACTTTGGGAGGCCGAGGCGGACAGATCGCCTGAGGTCAGGAGTTTGAGACCAGAATGACCAACATAGAGAAACCCTGTCTGTACTAAAAATGCAAAATTAGCCGGGTGTGGTGGCGCATGCCTGTAATCCCAGCTACCCTGGAGGCTGAGGCAGAAGAATCGCTTGAACCCAGGAGGCAGAGGTTGCACTGAGCTGAGATGGTGCCACTGCACTCCAGCCTGGGCAACAAGAGCAAAACTCCATCTCAAAAAAAAAAAAAAAAAAAAGCAAGGCCAACTCGTTTGCCCAAATCTGCAGAGCTAGTGGGTGGTGGAGTCAGATCTGAGGACCAGGTGTCCACTACCCCACACAACTGCCTCCCCTGAGGACCACAAGTGACAGACACAGAGTGGCCAAGAGAGGGCAGGGCTTGGGTACCGCCCATCCTGATGCCACTGGGAACAGGCCCTCGGCAGCCACTCGCCCACTTCTGCCTGCTCCCTGCCCTTCCCTCCAACACCCCCACCGACCCCCCAACCTCCAGCACCCAGTCCATACCCTGGAGACTCACCCTCCTTGACCACCCCAGTGCGGGCCGCAGGGGAGTTCTGCGTCACCTCCTGCACAAAGACGCCGTCATCCCTTTGGGCGATGGTCAGCCCGTGGGAGCCGCTACCCTGCCAGTTGGGCAGCAGCAGCTCCCGCGTTGTCTCCTCCTCCTTCTCCATCTGGGATGAGGTGAGGAAATGGAGCTGGGGTCAGTGCGGGTGGGAGGACATTAGGGCACGGGAAAGCGAGCGATCTCCGGTGCTATAAACTCCAGGGAGTGGGGCCCTCGCCAATGCGCCTGCCCCTGCAGCCGGCTCACCTGCCAGGTGAGGTGTTGGGGATGGGTTACCTCATCTCACGTCCTTCCACTGTGGAAGTTCTCCCAAGGCATAACAAAGAAGACGGAAATGAGATAGCAGAGGCAACTGGCCCCAGAGGCAGCCAGTCCTTCATCCCTGTCCCCCACAGCCCCAGCCTCCCATCCACACGGGGCCCACCCTCCCCACATCCCATCACCTCCGCCTCTCTCTGCCTCTCCCACCTACTGACCTTTGCAGGATTCCGCTCAGGAGCAAATGCCTTGCCAGGAGCCCGCCCCTCCTTCCTCTCTTCCCCTCAATCTCTCTCGTCAGGATCTCGGTCACAACCTAGGGGAAAGTTCATGATGATGCTCACACTCCGGTCAGCAGTCAGCTTGCTCTGAGTCCCCACCCAAGGGACAGCCGGGTCCTCTGCTACCCAGGCCAGCTCACAACCCCGACCCCCACCACCGCCATCAATTCCACTAGTCCATGACTCTCCAGCCTGGCATAGCAGAAAGGGACTTCAGAGGAGCCAGACTTGGAGTCAGATCCTGGCTCTGCCTCCTTCTAGCTGTGGGACCCTGGCCAAGACACTTCACTTTTCTGAACCTCCATTTCCTCATCTGTGAAAATGGAGGCAATAAAGGAGAAAAAAATGAACACCAGCCGGCAGGAGCCGCTTCACATGCACGTTCTCACCATATCCTTTTTATTTTTTTCTTTTTTTATTTTTTATTCTTTATTACTATTATTTTTTGAGACGGAGTCTCGCTCTGTCACCCAGGCTGGAATGCAATAGTAGATCTTGGCTCACTGCAAGCTCCATCTCTCGGGTTCAAGCCAGTCTCCTGCCTCAGCCTCCTGAGTAGCTGGGACTACAGGCGCCCGCCACTATGCACCATGCCCAGCTAATTTTTGTATTTTTAGTAGAGATGGGGTTTCACCGTGTTAGCCAGGATGATCTCGATCTCCTGACCTCGTGATCCACCTGCCTTAGCCTCCCAAAGTGCTGGGATTACAGGCGTGAGCCATGCACTCGGCCTCGTTTTATTTTTTTGGGACAGGGTCTGGTTCTGTCACACAGGCTGGAGTGCGGGGGTGCGATCACGACTCACTGCAGCCTCAACCTCCTGGACTCAAGTGATCCTCCTGCCTCAGCCACCCAAGTAGCTCGGACCACAGCCACGTGCCACTACAACTGGCTAATTTTTGTATTTTTGGAGAGATGGGGTTTTGCCATGTTGCCCAGGCTGGTCCAGAACTCCTGGGCTCAAACAATCCCAAAGTGCTGGGACTATAAACAGGAGCCACCGCGCCTGGCCTCGACCCACATTCTCAACCACAGCTTCAAGAGGGAGATGTTACTGTGCCAATTTCACAGACAGAGACTGAGTCTCTGAGAGAACAGCTTACCCGGGGTACACATGACAGCACAACTATGCTGGGCTTGGACCCGAGTCTGTAACTCCTTTTTTTTTTGAGACGGAATCTCGCTTTGTAGCCCAGGCTGGTGTACAGTGGCATGATCTCGGCTCACTGCAACCTCCCCCACCAAGGTTCAAGCAATTCTCTGCCTCAGTCTCCCGAGTAGCTGGGATTACACCCATCACACCCAGCTAATTTTTGGTATTTTTAGTAGAGATGGGGTTTCACCATCTCGGCCAGGTTGGTCTTGAACTCCTGACCTCGTGATCTACCCTCCTTGGCCTCCCAAAGTGCTGGGATTACAGGCGTGAGCCGCCGCACCTGGACCACCGAGTCTGTAACTCTTTTGCCTACTCCATCCCAGGTCTGCCGCTTGTAACAGGTGGGAGCCTCCTCAGAGGCTGCCTCCAAGGAGGAATGGCAGTGTTCCACCTCCCTCAGAGACAGAGACTCGGGCCACCTGGTCTCACCCAGTCCCCGGGACCAAGGGGGTGCCTCACCAGCTGGCAGCTCTGGGAGCCCTGCCACAGGAAGCTGCCTGAACAAAGGAGGTCCCAGCCCCATCAGGCACCACCCAAGCCCTAGAGGCTAGAGCCCAGATGAGCCCGACTTGGCCCAGGGTGAGTCCAGGCCCACTGGCTGCCCACACCAGGCCCTGAGCCAGGCCCCTTTAAATGCAAGCATTTAGTAATAAATTCGCCCTCCAGCCACAGGATGAGCTGTCGTCTGCAGGCGCCCTGGAAAGATACCAGGCAGGACTCTGCACAGGGCCACGGACTACAGCCACCACACAAAATGGCGGCAGTGTGAGGAACACTATAAGTCATGGGGAACCTGACCCAAAGCCCTGCCTACAGCTGTTTACATCCAAAAAGTATTAACAGTCAATCAATGCACGTATACCGGCTGCCTCCCTATGCCCAACACTATACTTTGCACTGCAGATGGAACCGGCCAGGGATGGACACAGCTGGGCCCGGCACCTAATTATACGCTGCATTAGACGGTGACCTCACGTCACTCACGCACCCATGTGCCGGACAGGGAGATTTAAGACTCTGTGTTTCTGTCACAGACACACATCAGATGAGCAAGGTGCACTAGCTGTGACCGATTTTGCCGCAGAATATTCCAGAAGGCTTGGGAGCTTTCTGGGGGAAATGCAATGTACATGGGGTCTTGAAGGCGCTAGAGGTGACCTCTGAGGACAAGACTGTGTCTCTTAGGAATTTGTGGGCACTTAGCAGTTCCTATCTCAGGCAGATCACAACACGGATGAAAGAGAAACACAGACCCCAGCCCCCAACAGCCATCCTCCCGTTTGACAACGCAGTGTGGACGACGTGTCTCCTTGTCAACACAGGTGCTGGCTACAAGGTGAGCAAAGACTCTGAGCCTGTGGGCTCAGGTGCAAACTGGGGAAAACACCTCCTCCCTTCCGGCCGCAGAGAAGGCTGCGACGGGAAATCACTCTGACCCTTCCCAGTGTGAAACAGCAAAGCTGGGGCTTAAATGGCACATTCTCTCCCAATGTCCAGTGCTCAGCAGCTAGCCCTGCAGAAAAGGAGCCGGGCAGAGGCAGGGAAGGAAAAGAGATTCCAGACTTCATCTCTCAGACAGAACTGAAGCCACCCCTTCAGATCGCCCAGACACCCCTGTCCTCCTCCTGGAGCAGGGCCCCTTTGCTCACCCCAGCATCCTGGTGCTGTGCCAGCAGCCAGCGATGGGGAGAGAGCTAGCTGGGCCAGATCACCCTCGCCCACACCTCGGCCCCACCCTCCCTTTTTCCCTCCCTCCCCAGTGAGTCACTGCAGCTGGCTGCAACAGCTCCAGACCTGCAAAGGGTTGAGCCTAAAACCCAAAGGACAAAGTGCCTCCTGGGCCAGATCCCCAGGTGCCAGAGGAACCAGAGATCCCCTGCAGACAGGCAGTTAGCTTCCCTGCCAGTGCCTCAGGCAGAGTCCCAGGGCAGAAGTCCCTTTAGAGGCCCAGGACAGACTTGCTACCTGCCTCAACCCACGTGGTTCCTGAGGAGGAGAGAAACCATCCTAAGCAGACAACTGATCCAATAGCCCTTGAGGACGGGAGCCATTGGACCCGAGGCTGCAGGTTGGCCCTGGCAGGGCACCCAATGGCTTCCCGGCCAGGTGGGGCTGCCAACCACCCTGCCTGCTCTGGCTCTGGCCCTGCTGTCCTGGCACAGCCTGGAAGGACTCCCCTCCCATCTGACCTGGGCCATTCAGTTCCGAGGAGGGGCATGGAAATACTGAAGGGAATAGTGAAGGAGCAGCGTGGGATACTATGTAGCCGGGGTTCCCCTTTCTCCATTCTCCACGTTTGGTCCCAGCCCTCAGTCTCTCCTCCACCTCTGGAGCCTGTCTCAAGCCCAGGTGGCCCTGTCTTCTCCTCCCACACAAGTTAGGTTAAGTCAGGCTTTCCCGGGAGGCTGAGGGCTCTGCCCTGTTGCTACCCAAAAGAGGGTCTTTGGAGCTTTGGGGAATTCTGCACGATTCAGCCAAGTGCCATAAGCCTTCAGAGCTGGGAGAGACCTAGAGTCGTGCCACCCAACACAGCAGCCACATGTAGCTATTTAAATTTAATTAATTAAAATTCAGTTAAATTAAAATTGTAGCTCATTGGCTGCACTAGCCACATTTCAAGAGCTCAACAGTCACATGTAGCTACTGGCTACTATATTAGCATGGACACAGAACGCTTACCCCACTGCCGAGAGTTTTATGGGATGGCATTGCCTGTTACTTAAGGATGGAGAAAGTAAGGTCCAGAGAAATGAGAGAATGGGAGTGTGCTGGGGCCCTAGTCCCAGAGCCTGCTAGCACACAGCCCGGTGGTCCACCCAACAGCCTCCCTCATGATAGGAAGAAACGGGGCAGAGCTAGGTGCGCTGGCTCATGCCTGTAATCCCAGCACTTTGGGAGGCCGAGGCACACTGATCGCTTGAGCCCAGGAGTTTGAGATCAGCCTGGGCAACGTGGCAAAACCCTATCTCTATAAAAAATAAAAACTTAATTTTTTTTTAATAAAAAAAGAAGGAGCAGGGCCAGAGTGGAGACTCCCTAAGGCAGAATATTGCTTGGAGGGCAGAAAAGAGTGAGATGGTGAGGCCACGCCAGCTGCAAAGGTGAGAGCACGCATGCCCGACACCCTGGGACAGGCTGTAATTCAGGCCAGAAGCAGCGAGAGAACAGCCCATCCTGTCACTTCAAAACTGCAAAGAGGATGTGCCGAGCAGCAGGGCTCTGCCCATACCCTGCGATTGGGCACGATGCCAAGTAGAAGCAGGAGAACTCCAGGAAGCAGATTCTTGACCCCAGCAGATGGCCTCTGCCAGGGGTGACCTCCAGAGGAAGCTCCTTCCTCCACTGCCCTCGGAGAACAGTACCCCTTCCCGGGGCGAGCCAGTATAAAGACAGCCAGGATGGAAACCAGGCCAATTGTTGCAGCAGCTAGAGACAGCCCTGTAGCCAGCGTCAGTGTGGAGATGGCAGGAATTGATACACACACTCCCCTAGAGACAGGCCACAGGCCTCTGTGCCCAAATGCACCAAACCTGAGGACAAGATACACACCACAGGGGCCCACGACTAGGCATCCACCCAGCATAGGCGGGACACAGGAGGCAACCCTCCGAGGGGAAGAAAATCACCCCATCTGTGGTAGGGAGGGCACCAGCCACAGTGAAACTTCCACCCAGCACGGTGGCACGCATGTGGGTCAATCAACCCACCACACACACAAGGCCAAAGAGAAGCAGTCCTCATCCCAGGAGCGACATGACTCACGCCCAGAGTCAGAGACCCTACCAGAGGGGAAGCCCCCAACATTCGGAACCAGGAGGAGAGGGAGGCTATTCAGAAAGACACACCCAGAAGACAGTATGCTCTGCTCTCATAAACACT